GAAGTTACGGCGGATTCACTTGAAGTTACAACGGATTCACCTGAAGTTGAAAAGGTATAGTGACATGCTCGCTGTGCATCTATCTACCGTGTCATTCACACCTATTGGTTCAACTCAGTTATTTACTGCTGTCCACCTTCTGTACGTTATCCATCCGAAGTAGATTGATGTACCGTTGCTATCTATTAAACTATGCGATATTCAATTATCTATTACAGGATATGCATAGAGCATTGACTTAGTCTTCAGTGAAAAATATTTTTCCATTATCGGCTTTTTATTGACTGGCTAATTACAACTCACTTAAATGGTATACTAAACATGGGGTCGTAAAATGAACTAGGTCAAACGACATCTAAATACCCGATAATCTGGTGATGTCTGTTAACTCTTGCTTATCCATTTACACTACACCGTCTACAAACGAACGCCACTCATACCAGTTATCACAGATTTGTCCTCTCATTGCATTTTACTCGTCAATTTATCAATTATGCCTCCTCTCAACTGATCTGTTGTCTACAGCAAAACGTAGCTCATCAAGTCGGCGGATGAGACACTGAAAAGAAAACGGTCTTGTTTGCCAACCCATGTTCTCATGGTCATCCAATTTTTGGACATTCTCTTATCTGTGTATTGTATTGTAGACGAGCCAAACACCAGAATACATGGTTTTCTGATTATTCCGTTCAACTCTCTTGGTCAGCATAGCTTGTACGTACGCTTCACTCCCCGGTGTACTTCCACTGGGTTGGGTTCCTTTCTGACGTGCCCGTGATTGAGAAGAGCACTGAAGTGCAGCACTTTTCTCGGTCACTGATTCTCTCTCCCCCCCCCTCGGAATACCTGAACTTCAATTGGTTTGTATATTGTTTCCCTCTCTCTCCCACCACCAGAAGCTGTTAAGCAAAGCGAGTGGTAGGTTTCCGTGCCTGTTTGTGTTTTAGTCCTTCCGAGGACTGTATCCATGCTTTTCTCACCATGCCGATCGTCCAATCACATCTGTGGTCGTTTGGCCGTGTTTATTTTCCAAATGTATTTTATCCGTCTTCGCCTGTCCCCATTGATAGTGACTGTGCCGTTTCGTGAGCTGGATCGATTTAATCCATTTTACAGATTGATGTACAATGGTTGTTAGCTCCGTGGATCTCCTTTAACGTAAATCTTATCTCGGTCTGATTACTCGATTGATTATTCACAATCCCGGTTGAGTTGAGCAAAACGTAAGCACCTTATCGTACGGGATACGTATGTGAATATCAATGCGGTTCTGTAAGAAATAAATAACTAACATTTAGTACACGTAAATAGGTCATTGGCGTACATCAAGATTTCCCGAGTCCGCGTAAATAGACAATGTAATATAATCCACAGAGGTCGTACGTAATAGTCCGGTGCGCAATCGATTGTGTGGGACCCTAATCACCCAGACTAACGGGCTAATGTCACAAGGTCAAGCACATTGATTGGCTGGGATCATGAATGCGCGAATGGGTCAGAGTGGTGAGGTGACAGACGCGGTAAGTACGTGTATGGTCATATGACTGGTTGCATTGTCCTAGTGCGTGTCGGCGTCGCATGACTGGTAAGCATTGTCACGGTGTGCGTGCGTATGTGTTGTGTGTCACATAACTGAATCAACGAATGTGAACACGTGTGTGTAGGATGGGCAGGTGTGTGGGTGTGATAGAACCCGATCGGCGGCTGACTAAAGGTTCGCCAGGGCCACAACGTAAATCTTTTTAAGTTTACAATGGTTTTGGTAAGGAGAGCGGTTTATACCGTTCGGAAACAAACAATCGGGACAGGGGAACGCAAATGAACAGGGTCTGACAGAAGAAATAGCGAACTGACGAAGTGAAAAGCAGTGGTGTAGTGCGCTTCAAGCGCATCATATACCACTTGGGTTCCCATTGGGACTGCAGCGTTTGCAAAAATAAAATTGGCTGTGTGGTAAAAACCGCGATTGGTCCGTTAGCTTTACAATTGGATTTATCCTAAGGGCATAGCGCTTATTTGACTCCTCCAATTGTTCAACAAACAGTTGACAGTTTGGTCATGTCGCGTGAATCGATTTTTGTTGTTGTATGCTTTCCAGATCCGGATGGGTAGTCAAATCACGCACGCTTCTACCAGTTCTCCAGACCATGTTTTACCCGCTATTCTATTCAAGCATTTTATGCCTTTGTTTGATTTTGATCCAGAGAGAATAGATGTTTTTTTATCGTCAACGTCATCCAATTGTTTTTCGGTGCCATGGGTTTTATCCGTCTCCTCGCAGTAGTTCAGTTTTTCTTTCCAGGTGTCTTTTTAAACCCTCCGTAAACAGTTGATCTTAGTATCTGTTTCGGATCGATCGAACGGGTTCTCGTTACGTCTGGACGATGACACTGTTGATCAGGTGTCCCTTTTCTAGTCCCGGTTTCTCTCTTGATTGGTGTAAACTGTAATTGCATTTCTTCTTGCATCTGATGCGCTATTCTGTTCGCTCGATCACATGATTGCCGCATCAATGTTGAGAGTGAATCACTTGGATGTTTCGTTCCGCCCCTATGGTGAAACTGTTGCTCGCAAAGGGCCAATGTATCTCATTTCCGACGTGAATTTCATCATCCTCTGGTGTTACTGAGAAAAAAAATCTTATCCCATCCAGTTTATCGATCGGTGTTTTTATCACCGCGTATGATGAGGAGATTCTCCTTAGTTAATCGACATTCGCTGGTCATGGACTAAGCTCGTTCCGGTAAATTTTATTTTAACGTGAGCTATGTGACACAGACTCACGGACTCATGGTGTAATTTTATCATCAACTGTCAACTCGGCCTTGCGGTGAGTAGTAGTAGTTGAATGATTGAACAAAATTTCTCTATTCCAAACAGTTTCTGGACGCATACACAAGATCCCATTTGTACCCCGGCGCATAATAAGAGAAAGGACCTTCAAGCAATAATAATTAGTCCATGACGGGTTTTCCGGGCACAGGAATGCCTGATTCCCCCCTTTCCGGGGGACCAAAGCGGATAATTTTCTTGTGGAATGACAACTGGAATCATTCGGTTGGCCAAACTTTGACTTGCGAGGTAGCTGCTCTTCTGTCAAATGGCTCTTGTGCTTTTTGGACATTGATTAGGTGTCTAGGGTCTCCAGTACATCCTGTCACCTAATCAAATTGGATAACTAAATCCGCTGTGATGGGCATGTATTTGGGGGTTCACCAGCATAGGAGTCTATATGAAAATCGCCCCAATGATTTTCTGTCAAGTTAGGGCAGGGATAGCTGCTGCGTGCCTATACACGCCTAATAGAAATGCGTATCTGTATCTTGTTCAGAATTTATAACGCTTGAGAGATACGGTGTGTCATGTATCATAAACCTTTTTTTTAGTGTATTTGGAGTGTCTAAAACGCGGGATTCCTTTGAATTTCTTAACCAATAATTCGAGCTCACAACACTGAAAAATAGAGCACGTGATCTCCTCGGTAATTTTTTATGCACACCGTTCATCGCATTTCATCATTGTTTCATTAAATGAATTCGTTCAGATCTCCACCAAAATCAGCAACGCTTGATTTAGCTGCTACTCATTTGCGTGGGCAGTTCTCCTCTGGTGTGTTGTCTATCAAATCAGAATATCTCTTACGCAAGTATCTAATGAAAAATTCTAACTGGCCCAGTTACTTCAGAAATCTTCACTCGTACAGAAGCCGCTGTCAGTAGTGGAATAAAACTTCAGTTGTCTGTTATTGTCGACCGTTTGGAGCGCCGGATATCTTCGCTTGTAATCACTGTATTTGTATGTGTTGTCTTCTGGTGATTCAGCTGCTTCTATTTTCTTTTGCCTTTTTATGATGTATTTTGCCTAACCCGCGTAACGCCGTCCTTCCCTGTCCCGCTTCCCGATCTGTTCCCCCGTCTAGGATTCAAAGTGCTCAGCCTGATCGAGGGTAAAGCCCACTTGTACGTGCACCCGTCTAGCACACGACGCTGGGATGTGTGCGCGGCACAGGCGATTTTGGAAGCGACCGGCGGTCGTCTGACTGGGCTTGATGGGACCCGTCTGACTTACTATGCCACGGATACGGAAAAGATACCGAAAACTGTTGGTCTGTTCGCAGCCACGTCCATAGCGGAACACAAACGTTGGTGGCCTAAAGTTGCTGAACTGTTAAAGAAAAACTAATGCTCCAAACGATCCTGTGATGGTGGGGGGGGGGGATCTCAACTCTGTCATTTATTATTATTCACATGCCTACCGGTCTCATTCCCCTACTCCTCGCGTCCACGCTGTGCCCTTTCCACTGTCCATTTTTCGTCCCAAATGCATTTCAACTGTGCGCAGTTTTCACTTGACGAACAACTCATTAGGCAACGTTTTGTTTGTTGAATGAATACAACCACTGTTTTTATTCCTTCATAATCCATCCTAAGGATCTCTTTTATTGTTTATCTCTGTTTCACTATCCCCCCCCCACCCCATACCCGGCCAGTAAACTCTGCTTTATCATCTTGGTGAATTTTGCTTTCGTTTTATAGAACTCATCAGTTGATCTCTTTTTATCTTTCACCTAAACACAGACAGTAAATAGTAATTCAGCACTTTTTTATCCGTTCATTGTATTCCATTTGCTAAAGTCTCACGATTCTCTGACGTACGTAAATTGGTTTTTATCCTCTCTTATCGATATCCATATCTCCCATTGACTTGTGTCGTACACATCTTGTACAGCTACATAATGTGATCCACGTCAATTTTCGGCGCACACAAAGCATATATACATACATATAACACATACTGTTGGATGATTACCTTTTAGACATTACATTAATGAATCAGACCTCATTTAGTCCTATCATGATTGTTCTACAGAGCGATTGTGTGTGTGCGTGTTGCGTTTCTGTCTTACATGTTTTTTTTCAATCCATCTAGTTTTACACCTACTACTAATCAATAATCAGTTCCATTTTGTACAGCACTCCCGTGCTCCGGTTTTCATTGTGGCAACCACTCGCTTCTGGTCAAAATAGCTGCCGAAGGGTAATCATCAGTTTTTTATGCATTGCCATGGGTTCAAAATGAAAAACAAAACCGGTAGATGTAAAACATCCTTTTCCCTCTGTCCATCTCATTAACACAAGAATACACATGTGGGCAGAATGAATATTGGCCATCAGTTGGATTTTCACGGAGGAAAACTGCCATCTATTGCGGCTGCCTGTCATTTGTTAGATTCCGGTCACCATGCAGACACACCGTGGGAGTGATTATGTCACACATGATACCACCCTACCATAGTGTGTGACATGACGTTCCCTCCACCACATTCATCAAATCGTTCGGACCAGGTCACTTTCAAATCAAATTTTTTCATCTAACTTGACCCCTACCCCTAACCAAACGTAAACCACGCAACTCAATTGTCCATCATTTTGTTCAAATGACTCATTTCAACTCTTATGTTTCTTCGTTTTACATGATCATATGAGTGTGCGTTTACAGCTGATTGAGAGCACGAGAAATTGATGACCAAAATCAATTTTGCCCGTATATATCATCTCGTGTTGATGAAAACCGATAAACCTTACCGTTTGTGTAGGATCTGATGTAAATGAAAGTAAATCAGGCAATCGGAACACGGCTACGGAGTTAAAAACGTGACCTACAGAATAATTCACAAAGTAAACAATTTGGTCGGGGGGACCATTACATCTGCGTTCGATCTCTCTGCTCAAATTCGAGACGTAGAGGGGCATGATCAGCTACTCAACATCGTCTTTCTCTGTTCAATTTGTTTCTTTCGCAAAGGAATGTTCCAGAAGTATATGAACACGCTGAGTTTACTCTACTCGCATACTTCTGGTGGCATAAGGGTGTACGGCGAGCTGAGTAGGTCGTTCGTAACTAGCAGCGTTGTTCGTCAACGGTTCCATCTTTTGCCATTTCTGTTCAATTTCCTCATACACGAAATCCTGGATTTCGCACTAAGATTTCGTCTATGACGAAAGTGAACGGAAATGGCAAAAGATGGAACCCTTGACGAACAACGCTGCTAGGTACGAACGACCTACTAAGCTCGCCGTACACCCGACGACTTACCTCTAGGTTACTAATCCGCTCACTTCATCCCACTTGAGCCAGACTACGGAAGCATCGATTCTCGAAAACCACTAGGTTTCACAACCGTACAGCAGGACTGATCGTGCAGTGGTGCCGTATACGCGACTTTTCAACTTCACTGAAACGTCACGTCGCCGCCACAGGTGTTTTAGTTTTGCATATGCCGCTCGAGCCTTGCAAATGCGGGCGGTGATCTCCTTTGATGCGCTACCGTCGTTGGTCACGCAACGAACCAAGTATGAGAAGCGATCAATTCCAACCAATTCCTGACCATTTAATTTTAGAACAGAACTCGGCGACACCCAGTCTTGTAGCATCACTTTTCACTTTGAAGGTGCAAAGCACATGCCGAACGGAGCGACAGAATTTGCCAATCTGTCAAGTGCTCTGTGTGCGTCCTCCACACATTCGAACCAGAAAACGATGTCATCAGCGTAAGTCAAATAGCACAGCACCAGTTAGCTTATCGAA